ACCAGGCACTTGCCAAGAACCCCGAGAAAAAATCATAGAAAAGTCAGGATCTCCATCAACAACATTCAGACTAGAGCGAGAGTCAGATCTGTAGAACAACAGTTCCTAAGATATCTGTTCAGTGAAAGTGCAAAGGGGAGAGAGGAGAGATTGGACCAAATCATAAAGAAGGCCTCACAGAGAAGATGATGCTAGTATCGAGGCAAGAAAGATGAGCAGCTGAAACCAGTTTGGCTTAGTGTGGGCCTGCGGACTGAAGGGTCCCAGGTTTGATTCTGGTCAAGGGCATGTACCTTGGTTGCAGGCACATCCCCAGTAGGGGGTGAGCAGGAGGCAGCTAATCGATGATTCTCTCTCATCGATGTTTCTAACTCTCTATCCCTCTCCTTTCCTCCCTGTAAAAAAAATCAATAAAATATATTAAAAAAAAAAAAAAAAGATGAGCACATGTTTAGCCAGATGGACTATGGGAAGTGGAGTGTCAGCAATACCATGGAAATACCTCCCTCGTTCACTTAGCAGACATCTATTGAGGACCTGTGATGTGCCAGGCACTGAACAATGGTGGAGGTAGACACTGGTGCTACAGTGATGGTAAGACCCTGCTCCTACCCCCTTACGAAGGGATAGACCATAAATAATCATAATGCAGCGCCCTGAGCTGTATAGTCACAAGGCACAAGAGGTTACTGCTGGGTTCTTTCTCACCCCTGGACACAGGTCGTCAGCATAAGAGTCTGCCTTTCTAGAATTTAAACCTAATTTAATGGGAAGAAATGCTTACAGGGTGCCTAACAGGCAGCATGCCGTGAAGGTAAGAGTAGAGACTTTAGCATCATATACAGGGGGGTTCACATCTCACTTTGGCCGTACAAGCTGTGAGACCTTGGGCAATTTGCAGATCTCCACAGAAAAAAGTGCCATTTATTGACAGACCCCGCAGTTCCTAATTGGAGGGGAGACTTTTGGGGGTAAAATTGGAGTTTTGGGGGTGAAATAGGCTTGTTTAGTTAATTTTTAAAAAGATTTTATTGTTTTTTTTTTACACAGAGGAAGGGAGAGGGATAGAGAGTTAAAAACATCAATGAGAGAAACCATTGATCAGTTGCTTCTTTATATATATATATATATATATATATATATATATATATATATATATATATTGTATATATCTATACCTGGTGCACAAAATTCGTGCACGGAGCGGGGCGGGGAGGGGGGGGTCTCCCTCAGCCCAGCCTGCACCCTCTCCAATCTGGGACCCCTAGAGGAGTGTCCAACTGCCCTCTCACAATCCAGGACTGTTGGCCCCCAACTGCTCACCTGCCTGCCTTTCTGATTGCCCCTAACCACTTCTGCCTGCCAGCCTGATCACCCCCTAACAGGCGTCTTCAAACTACGGCCCATGGGCCACATGCGGCCCGCAGAGGAGTCTGATCCGGCCCGCCAGGTTTTTTGGGCAGTGAGCGCAGCCGAGGTGTTACAGTAGGAATTAGTAGTTCATATAGTCCGGCCCTCCAGCTCTCCGAGGGACCGTGATCTGGCCCCCACTTTAAAAAGTTTGAGGATCCCTCCACTCCCATGCCAGCCTGATTGATGTCTTAACTGCTCCCCTGCCAGCCGGTTCTCCAACTTGAATTCCACATTTGAGTGATCACTGGGGGCAGAAATAGAGGGAGAATCAGAAATGGGGGCAGGAATTTGAAATTCAAATTGGTCAGAAATTTTCAGAAACCTTTGAATGGACTTTGGACTCTTCCCAGAATGCTGTGGCTTTGTTATATTAACATTTGTTAAGTAGAGACACAAAAGAATGGAAGGGAAAGCGAAATAGAAGAATTTATTGCTCACAGGTTCGGGGGGGGGGGGGGGGGGGGCGGGGGGGCGGGGTCATGACGGGGTGCAGGCAGAGAGGGCATTCCTGGGTGTTATTTTCTTATTTTAAAATATATTTTATTAATTTTTTACAGAGAGAGGGATAGAGAGTTAGAAACATCGATGAGAGAGAAGCATCAATCAGCTGCCTCTTGCACACCCCCTACTGGGGATGTGCCGGCAACTAAGGTACATGCCCTTGATTGGAATCAAACCTGGGACCTTTCAGTCCGCAGGCCGATGCTCTATCCACTGAGCCAAACTGGTTTCGGCTCTGGGTGTTATTTTCTTCTCCCCTCGTTTCCACCTCTTTGTCTTTCTGCTTTATTTTCTGGGACATATTCTCAATTTTATCTTCCAACTCATCTATTGAGTTTTTTAAAAAAAATTCTGATCTCACATTTCACATTTCAAGATTTATTTTTTTTTACTCTGAATCTTCTTCTTTTTCTTCTTCTTCTTCTTCTTCTTCTTCTTCTTCTTCTTCTTCTCCTCCTCCTCCTCCTCCTCCTCCTCCTCCTCCTCCTCTTACTTCTTTTTGGCTCACCACCTTATTCTGTATTTTTTAATGCAGTATCTTCTCTTTCCTCCGAAGGCAGTGGGGTTATTGTGTTGAAGTTTTCTTGCCCCTGCATCATCGCTGTCTCTTCTAGATTGCTCTTATTTCCTGTTTCTCTAGTTGGGTCTCTATCACATTATAGGTTTTCTTCACATAACTGGTTATTGTCTGCACTTCAGTGACACCTACTTCACAAGGAGCCATTTGAGTCATGGCATATCTCCACTGTCTATTTAGACGGTTGCACAACTCACCTGGTATTTCTAGGCATTCATGCCTCAGAAATCCGTAGACTACAGATTGGTCTGCCACAAGCAACCCTGGACAACCAGGTATGAACTTCTAAAAGCATTCCAAGGATTAGTCTCCTGTTGGCAAATACCATTCGTTTGTGTGCTAGAAGTTCTGTCATTCACATGTTTAAAAAGGGATTTGACTGATCACCTTTCTTTCTTTCCTGGTTGTGTCGCCTAAGTAATAAAGAGAATGAATTATGAACCTATTGCTTAACCCATTACTTCACGGTGTATACAGTACGCTGGGAACTCTCATATTAAAAGAGCAAGAGCTCTATGGGGTTGGTATTATGATCCCCATTTAACAAACAAGGCTGTGAGGCTCAGCTCTTAAATTGTTTCCCCCGAGGTCCTGACACCTGGTAAAATGAGAAGGGACTCGGATGGCTAAGCTCAAGAGCTCCTCCCCATTGTGCTCCCACTGATAAGGTCTGCTAGCCAGACAACAGACAACCCTTCTTAGCATGGGGACCAGGCACAGTGTGTGTGTGTGTGTGTGTGTGTGTGTGTGTGTGTGTGTGTGTGTATTTTGTTTTCTGAGCAAAAGGGCTCCAGTTCCCCACTATCCTGAGGAATTGCTCCAACAAGACAATCACATCCTCCCACAGAAACCAGAGTTCACCTGACCTTCTTATTACTGCAAAGCCTATATTTTATAGCTCCTAGCTGGTCCCTCTGTTCCCAAGTGCAACCCCTGCATGGCAGGCAGAGTCCTCCTCCCCTAGGCTCTGAGTGTGAGTGGCTATTAAACTGCCATTGGTCTCATCTCTCCAGTGTTAGGTGACATGTATTCAGGCATCCTCACAACCCTTGGGAGTGAAAATAAGAAAATTAGAGAAGGCCCAGCCAGGTGTAGCTCAGTGGTTGAGCATCAACCCGGGAACCAAAAGGTCACAGGTTCTATTCCCAGCCAGGGCATATGCTTGGGTTGCAGGCTTGATCCCCAGTGGGGGGTGTGCAGGAGGCAGCCAATCGGTGATTCCCTCTCATCGTTGATGTTTCTATCTCTCCCTCTCCCTTCCTCTCTGAAATCAATAAAAATAGATTAAAAAAGAAAAGAAAATCAGAGAAGGATGCCAGGAGACGCAGCATGTGAAAAGGAGACAGCCGGCACAGCTCCCTGGGTGAGCAGCTCTTGCAGCTGCCTTCCGGCCCCTCCCCTCCATTCTCAGCACTAACCAGGCTTTAAAAGGGCCCCTGCAGCCCAGACTCAGAAGTTCCATCCCACAGGTCACCAGCTGGCTGCTGGAGGAGAAGCATGGAAGTAAATTCATTTATGCTCCTGTGCGAATGATTGCCAGGCCTCACCGCGTTCAACACTCTATAGAGTGTTTGTATTTTTTAAAACAAATTTTTATTTTACAAAGGATTGAATCACTGGCACTAGCCTTGTGGTTGACATTTGGGGAGGAAGGAGGAGAGCAGTCAGCTTTCTGTACACTTCAAACATTAGGTGGGTTGAAAAGGACAGCTGCCGTAAATCAGATGTGGGTTCGAATCTCCCTTCCAATGTCTGTGTCCTCCATCATTCTCATGTGGACAATCAGCTGCTCCTTTTAGCTCCCATCCCTTGTTCGGTCTGTCTTATGTAGGTGGGAACACTTGTGGGGCGGATTACAGCCCCACTGGAGTCTAGCACTGAGGTGGGCACCTGTGGGCACTCGGCAGGTATTTGTACAAACGGTTGCTTGCCACTCAGTGTCCCAGTTATAACAGCACCGATCTCGATCACTCCACCTGGGAAGAATGCATCCCTTCGCCCCACGGTGCTGATGCTTGGAGTGGGGCGGGGAGATGGAAGATGGAGTCCATTCCTGGCAGAATTCAGCAGGACACTTGTTTAGAGTGGAGTTTCCCAGCCCAGACAGAAAGAACCCAACTTCGCCCCCTCCCCCTTCTAGGTCAAGCAGCCCTGGTGAGGGATGTGGCGTGAAGGTGCCAGCCCCACCCGCATTCCTGGTGTTTGGGGGAGGGGGGAAGGGGGTTGGGGTGGGGGTGGGGGGGAGAAATGTTATCTGGTACCTGGAAAGGTCAGAAAGAAGAAAGCGTCCCGAGGATGTCCTTATGGGAGCGACTCTCAAGCTATGCTTTTAGCGAAGAGTCTCGTCATTCCGTGCGTCTCGCTCCTTAGGGCGAGGTTGGCAAGCCTGATTCTTCTTTTTCATAAAAACCTCCCTCCCTCCCCTCCAGGACGCCGCGGGCTGGGAAGTCAGCGGGCAGAGGACCGAGTGAGGCATCCCTTTCCTAACGGTCCTAACGGTCCTCGGGAGGAGCTCGGCCTCTGGGACCGCCTCACCCTCCCGTCGAGGGTCCCCCCTGCCGGGCGACTCTGCTGTGCCCGCCCGCCCTCCCGCGCCCTCCGCCCGGCGGCGGCGCCCTGGGAGCGAGCTGTCCGGCGCAGCCCCTTTTGGCATCGAGGCCTCCAGGTGCCCAGCACGGAGGCGGAGCCCGGCTACAGCCGCCTCCCCGGCGCCACGGACAGGACCCCCGGGAGCTCGTGGCCCCAACCCTGAGGCTCCGGCGGCGGCGTCCCCAGCCTCCCGGGCTGTCCGCTCCTCCCTCCCTCTCCGCGCGCCGGGCGCGAAGCCGGAGACCCACGAGCAGAGCGCAGCGCAGCGCAGAGCCGAGTGGCGCTCGCCGGGCGGGGCCCAGGCAGCCCGGAGCGCAGGCAGCCCCGACCCCAGGCAGCCCCGACCCCAGGCAGCCCGGAGCGCAGGCAGCCCCGACCCCAGGCAGCCCGGAGCGCAGGCAGCCCCGACCCCAGGCAGCCCGGAGCGCAGGCAGCCCCGATCGCAGCGCCCGCACCCCCTTGGCCGCCCGGACCATGGCCGCCCCGGGCCCCGGCCCCCTCGCCCAGCTCTGGACCGCGGCGCTGCTCCTGCTGTGTCTGCAGCCCCTCTCCGGGAGGGCGGACGGTGAGTGTCCAGGAGGCGGCGGGGTCCGGGGTGGCGCGTGGGGTTTGGGAAAGCAAAGCTCGCTGCGGGTGCCCATCCGGCCCGAGCCCGGAAAACCTTAAGCCTGGGAGAGAGCGAGGTGAGCGGCGGTCCTGCGACCCTGCGTCCTCTCCCGTCCAAACGCCTCCCTTTAGCCCCCCAATCCTTCCATCACACCCCGGGCAAAGCCCAAGCATTGGTCCTGCAGTCCCACCGCCGTGAGCTTTCCCACGATCTGCAGGGAAGGGCTTTCACATGGAATCACGTCTGGAGTGCCCTAGACCCTCCTCTCGAGGCGGGTGGAATTAGCTGGGTCCGGGAAGAACTGGAAGATGAGTGGGCATCGACGAGGCAGAGGGGAGAGCAGAGTGGCCTGGGGTGGAGGGAACAGCATGTGCAAAGTCCCTGTGCTGCGAGCGGCAGGGGAAATGGGATAAAGGATGGAGCGGCCGGACCCAGACTGAGCGGTGAGGATGTCCTTGAACGTGAGGCTCCCTATAAGTAAGGACCAGATTATTGCCGGGTCCTGAAAATTGGCCCACCTTTTCTTGTTCGTTTTCTGAACTGAATTCAGCTTTCAGGAGTTCCCTTAAGTAGGCAGGACCACAGCCTTATATATTAGTTCAGTTTCAAAAGTGAATTCAACCGTATTTTTAATTTTGGAACAAAACCCCATTGATTTGGTGCAGGAGGGTCCGAAAGAAAAGGGTTTCCAGAAACCCAAACTTGAGACAAACCAGACTGATGCAGGAGAAGAGTCCTTGGCTTACTGAGGATGTGTTGTAGGTGTTTAAATGTCATCGGTGTTTAGCAAACAGTGGTGCGTGAAACTAGATGACAAAAAGAAGCATGGGGTTTAGGGAAGAAAGAAAGCGAGAAAAACCTCCGGGTATTTTCGTAGAGTTTTTGGTGCTCTTGGTCCAAGTGCCAACTTGACGAACTCTTTGCTCACAATTGAGAATGAATGTCTTTTTTTCTCCATGTCCTCAGAGAAAGGGTTAGGAAACATTTTTAACTTCAAAGGCTCCTGGTGATCACTGTCAATGTTTAATTGAGATATAATTCATGTAACACTTATCGTTTTAAAAGGTACATTTCAGTGGTTTTCAGTATATTCATTAGGTTGTGCAGCTGTCACCACTATTTAATTACTAAAAATTAATTTCATTGAAAAAAAAACCATATCTACTAGCAGTCAATCCTTTGTTAATTCTTGTATTTTTTTTTTCCTTTTGCCTGACATTGAGTCGTGAAAATTAAGCTGATTTTAAAGAATGCAAGTGGAATAAATTGGAGCTAATGTTAACTTTTGAACAGTGTATGCTATTGTACCAACTTTAATTCCTTTTAAAGAAATATTTCTGCAATCTACAAGGCGTAAAGAGTTTCACCCCATTATAACTGCTTAAGTGCAATGCTAGATGGATATGGATCAATGCTTTGTGTCTGTCTGTCTGGACGTGGGTCACAGAAAATGGAAGGCAGAGGTATCATTGGACAGGAGACAATAAGAACAGCACCCAAGCACGCTTCCTTGTCACCACTTGCCGTTTTTCCTTCTCCCCTCTTCCCTAGTGGAAGGTTACAGGTATACTCGCTTTCAATTAACTCCATTTGCTGAGCTCCAACTTTTATAGTAGAGCCATTGACGAATTATAACCCATATTATGAAAGGATTCTTTTCTTTACTAAATATATGCCTAACTACCACCACTTCCCATATTTAATTTGTGTTCAACAGTAATGAAAGGAGGATGAAGAAATGTTCTTCTAAACTGTGATGCATTACAGACCTTCAAAGAGAGAACTGGGCTTATCAAAAAGCTCTATAGACTTATTAAGAAATAAGTCAATGAGATCATTTCAAATGAAAGACATTTAATTTGTATATGCATCTGATATATAAAAGACTTGCCACTGTACTTTTAAAATACTTTTGAAACTGAAAAATCTTCCTATGATCTGAATGCAAATGACTATATTTGGGAAATGGTTACAGAAAAAGATTCATAGTTCAACAGGTAGTTTATGGAGTATCTACTATATGCTAAGTACTGTCCTTGCTGTTGAGGATAGAATGGTGAGGAGAAGCAGGTTCTTACTATCAGGGAACATCAAATCCAATGGAAGAGAGAGGCATGAAGCAAAAAATTATATGAATGAAATGTGACATTGTGATTTTTTAAAGGTTTTTAAGTATAATATTATTATCAAAACTGTATTAACATAGTATATCACAAAAGTTGTAGGAAATATTAAAAATCTGCAAATAACAGGATTACTTCTATTATATTCTAGAATATTTTTCCCCCTTTGGGTCTATTTTTGTTCATCAGTTTATGCTGTTCATTATATTCCACAAATGAGTGAGAGCATATGATATTTATCTTTCTCCGACTTGCTTATTTTGCTTAGCATGATGCTTTTAAAGTCTATTTTGCTGGATATGAGTATTGCTACTCCAGCTTTTTTTTTCTTCTTCTTTTCTATTTGCATAGAAAAACTTTTTCCATTCCTTCACTTTCATCCTGTGTGAGTCTTTTGTTTTGAGGTGGGTCTCTTGTAGACAGCATATAGTTGGGTCCTGTTTTTTTATCCATTCAGCTACCTTACACCTTTTGATTGGAGCATTTAATCCATTTACATTTAGGGTTTTTAGTGAGAGGTACTTATTTATAGCCATTTTCATTCTGTATGACTAGATTTCTCTCCCTGTTTCTTCTCAGCAATCCCTTACTTACAAGAATCCCTTTAGCATTTCTTGTAATGCTGGCTTGGTGGTGATGAACTCCTTTAGCCTTCTCCCCCCTCCACCCCTCTCCTGGGAAGCTCTTTATTTGACCGTTTATTTTGAATGAGAGCCTTGTTGGATATAGTCATCTTGGTCTCAGATCCTTGCTTTCCATTACCTTGAGTACTTCATGCCATTCCCTTCTGGCCTGTAGAGTTTCTGATGAGAAATCAGGTGTCAGCCTTATGGGAACTCCTTTGTAGGTAACAGTTTTCTTTTCTCTTGCTGTCTTTAAGATTCTCTGTTTTAATTTTTGGCATTTTAATTATGATGTATCTGGGTGTGAGTCTGTTTGGGTTCTTCTTGTTTGGAGTTCTCTGTGCCTCCTGAACTTGTGTGACTTTTTCCTTTATCAGGTTAGGGAAATTTTCTGACATTATTTCTTCAAACACCTTCTCTATTCCTTTCTACCTCTTCTGGCACACCTACCATTCTAATATTGTTTTTTTTAAAATATATTTTATTGATTTTTTTATAGAGAGGAAGGGAGAGAGACAGAGAGCTAGCAACGTCGATGAGAGATAAACATTGACCAGCTGCCTCTTGCACACCCCCTACCGGGGATGTGTCTGCAACCAACGTACATGCCCTTGACCGGAATTGAACCTGGGACTTTTTAGTCCGCAGACCGACGCTCTACCGCTGTGCCAAACTGGTTTTGGCAAATGTTATGTTTCACATTTTCCCACAGCTTCCTTAAGCTGTCCTCCTGTTTTTTTAATTTTTTTTTTTTTTTTTTTTTGGTTCTCTGATTCAATCCTTGACTTCCATTAATCTGCTGTGTATTCCTTCCAATGTGTTATGTCATTACTTATCTCAAACTGTTCTTTTTTCATAGTTTATATATTTTTTTCAGACTCTTAAGCATTTTTAACATCATTACTCTGAACTGTTTCTGATAAATTTCTTATCTCTGCTTCATTTATCTCTTCTTCTGAAGAATTCGCTAATTCTTTAATTTAGGGGTCGTTTTTTCATTTCCTCATTTTGGGTATCTGCTATGGTTTGTGACTACTATATTTTTCAGACCATAAGACGCACTTTTCTCCCCCCAGAAGTGGGGGGGAAAGTCCCTGCGTCTTATGGTCCAAATATAGCCTACACATATACTTTAAAAAAAAAGTTTTTTTACTTGCCCGGCTCTGTGTGGTCTCTGTGTGCTTGCCCGGCTCTAAAATGGTTCTGAATGCTGCTGTTTACTTTACAGGGTTGATTACATTTGTTTATGACTGTGATGTTGGGTTTTAATGCACATAAAATATTTTAGGACACTATTTGTTTCAGAATCTTTTTTTCTTCATTTCCCTTCTCTAAAAACTGGTGCGTCTTATGGTCTGGAGCGTCTTATGGTCCGAAAAATATGGTATATGTTTTAGGTAGATCCTCTATACCTCTCAGTCTCTAGTGCAGGACAGTGTTAAATGCTGTTTCTGACTAATTGGATCAGGCAAAGACTCAAAGCCTCCAGAGACTTCTGTATACCAACCAATAGGATCCCAACTTGATTGCCCCAAGCAATCATCCTCAGGTGTGGAGAGAGTTGTTTTTTTCAACAGGGTGGAGCAGTTGCTTCTGCCTGGAAGCTAATTGTTTCTTTTAATCTCTTAAGTGACCTCAGGGCAAGGGTTTTCCAATAGGGTGTTTCAACTGTCTTCTCCCCCCCCCCCCCATCCCCCTCAGGCAAGGTGGATGTCTATGTGAGAAAGATGTCCTCCCTGTGTGAGGGAATGACTCAGCCCAGGAAACTGGGGGTGTCTGCCTTTTGAGCTCTATCCCCCAAGTCAACAGTCCTGGGTTCTGCTCTCACAGCTCCAGTCCACTTCACCCTCCCTCTGCCAGAGCACAAGGCGGGTGGGCGAATTTTTGTGCTCCACAGGGAATTTCTATGCATTGGCCCTTTAAGAGCGTGCCTAAACTTTCAACTGCCACTCCCTAGCAGACAGCACCCCACTGCTTTTCACAGCTAGATGTTATGTGGGTACCCTCCTCAATTTGGTGCTCTACACTGGGGAGCTCAGCTTTGGGTTTAGATCCCAGAGTTCCCAGTGGCACCCCCACAGCTGAAACATCTCTCCGGACTTCAGTTGCCATTTGTGGGTGGTCAGCCAGCCCTTTCGTGCCTCCGTCCTTCCTACCAGTCTCTATGCATCTCCACCTTTGGTCTTTTGGTATCAGGGTTCTCTCCTGTGAGTTTTCCATTGATTATTCAGGAAGCTTTTCCATATTTCAGTTGTAATTCCAGCCTGTTTCTGGAAGCATGTCCATGCAACATCCTCCTACTCTCACATTGCAATTTAGAAACATAAGGTTAAAGGACAGAGGTACTGTGAGAGCATATACTAGTACAGTGGTCGGCAAACCACAGCTCACGAGCCACATGAGGCTCTTTGGCCCCTTGAGTGTGGTTCTTTCACAAAACACCACGGCCTGGGCAAGTCTATTTAGAAAAAGTGGCGTTAGAAGAAGTTTAAGTTTAAACATTTTGGCTCTCAAAAGAAATTTCAATCATTGTACTGTTGATATTTGGCTCTATTGATATTTGGTCTCTGCCGACCACTGTACTAGGAAATTCTGACTTGGTGTAAAAGAATCTGAAAGATGAGTAAGTATAACTAGTCAAGGAGAGGGAAGAAGAGTATCTAAGTAGTTAGTAGCATGTGCAAAGAAACTGAGAGGCTCTATCCACTGAGCCAAACCAGTTTTGGCTATTATTATTATTATTATATTATTTTTGACACTATTACAGATATCCCCCCCATTTCCCCCTTGGACCTCCTCCACCCTTTCTATTTTTATTTTTTAAAAAATATATTTTATTGATTTTTCACAGAGAGGAAGAAAGAGGGATAGAGAATTAGAAACATCGATGAGAGCCGAAACCGGTCTGGCTCAGTGGATAGAGCATCAGCCTGCGGACTGAAAGGTCCCACGTTCGATTCCAGTCAAGGGCATGTACCTTGGTTGTGGGCACATCCCCAGTGGGGGGGGGGTGCAGGAGGCAGCTGGTCGATGTTTCTCTCTCATCGACGTTTCTAGCTCTCTATACTGTTTCCTTCCTCTCTGTGAAAAATCAATAAAATATATATTTTTTTTTAAAAAAAAGAAAGAAAAAAAAATCTCGATGAGAGAGAATCATCGATCAGCTGCCTCTTGCACATCCCCTACTGGGGATGTGCCCGCAACCAAGGTACATGCCCTTGACCGGAATCGAACGTGGGACCTTTCAGTCCGCAGGCCAACGCTCTATCCGCTGAGCCAAACCGGTTTCGGCTCCTCCACCCTTTTTAAAAGGGAAGAGGGAAAAGTGGGTTAAAACGCTAGTGTGGCTGTCAACACCTCGTCCCAGGTATGCGTGCCATGCGGTAGGTGCTGCAGCTGGGTCTTCCGTCAAGCAGAGAACTACTTGTAGCGGGTGCCCGCTAGAGAGTAAGTGTGCGGAGATGGCATCTTACGGGTCCCCGAGTCAGCCTGTGTCCGTGCTTGTCCCCACGCAGGGAAGCTCTTCGTGCTGGAGTCTCAGAATGGCTCGCGGGGGCTGGACCTGGAGGCGGCCCGGCTGTCCTGCGGGAGCAGGGGCGCTCACCTGGCATCTGCGGAGGAGCTGCGGAGGGTGGTGCGAGAGTGCGCCTCCGCCGTGTGCGCCGCGGGCTGGCTGGCCGACGGTACCCTGGGGTAAGTCCATCCAACTGTCCATCCAGCTCACCTGGCTGCCCCACCGGGGCTCCTATCGGGGCCAAATAATTGCTTTAATGAGGTGTCAGGACAGGCAACATGCAGTGGGCAGTGGCTTCCAGTGCATTCTTGTTTTGAATTCTCATCTAAAAAAAAAAAAAACCATCTCCCTCCCCCCCAATTCTGTCCGTTTATTCCCCCCGACTTGGTTATTTTAAATTTCCTTATTAAATTACAAAAATAATACATGCTTGTAAAATTTTCAAATGATACAAGTATGTATAAAGTACAAAGTGAGCTTGTCCCTTCTTCCCCACCTTGGAGGTTAACTGTCTGGCGTATATTCTTTATCTGTTTTTCTCTGTGGATACGCATCTGCATACACAGGGATGGGAAGATGGGGGGGGGAGTGAAAATACGGCCACAGGTTCTTGCACGTTGCTTCCACAGAGAAGTGGGGTCTGTGTCCTCTCCCTGTGAATCAGGCCCAGCGTAGTCTGATATACCCTATCAGCGGAATACCATAAAGCTGGAGTGACACTATGTGACGTCTGAGATCAAGTCAGAGAAAGCCACGTCCGGGTTTCTGAGGACTCTCACTTTTTTTTTTTTTTTAAATATTTTATTGATTTTTAACAAAGAGAAAGGGAGAGAGATAGAGAGCTAGAAACGTTGATGAGAGAGAAACATCGACCAGCTGCCTCTTGCACACCCCCTACAACCAAGGTACATGCCCTTGACTGGAATCGAACCTGGGACCTTTCAGTCCGCAGACCGACGCTCTACCACTGAGCCAAACCGGCTTCGGCAGGACTCTCACTTTTGAGATGCCATGTTCTAATAAGAAATCTGACTATCCTGAGATGCGGTGAGGAAGCCCGGACCGGATGCCCCAAAGCGGTTCTTTCGCCAACAGCCCCAACCAATGTCCTGGCCAACAGCCATCACGAACGGCCGGAAGTGGGAGGGAAGATGCCAGGGGATTCCAGCCCTCAACTGTTGAGTTGTCACCAGCCTGCGAGTCTCCCCAGCTCAGGTTCTCAGACGTTCTGGAGCGGAGACAAACCGTTTCATTGTGCCCTGTCTGAGCTCCTGACCCGTGGAGTCCTTGTGGAGAAGCCATTCCTGTGGCCGGCGAGGAGAAAATGTCCCATTAATGCCGCCAACGGCTTCTTTCGACTGAGAGGAGGCAGGAGCCGTTCCACTGAGAAAGGAATGGGCTCCCAGAACTACTCTGGTAGACGATGACCCCGAAGATGTCTGGCTGGCAGGTGGCCACAGAAAACACACACAGCCACGCTGACTCACGCCTCCGCGGGCTACATGGGAAGCAGCAGTCGAGCAGAAAGGACACATGAGGTCTCCTCCAAAACTTGTCCGTGGATCTCTCTGCCTTATATGTTCACATCCAGATTCCTAAATAGACAAAACATGTCCTGTGCATGAACTTTTTCCATTATGTAGTCAAGGGTGAGTAACTTTTCATAGTTCTGTCACCATCATGGCATCAGATAACCGGGGTACTCAGCGATTCCGAGGAGCCCTCTCAGAGCCAGGCCTAGGTCTCCCAGGCAATACAGGTCAAGACTGAGTCACTGGAAAGGTCCATTCTCCCTAGATTCGCTGTAAAGTACAATTGGTTTTTGGTGGGGGGGGTGGGGGGGGGCTGTAAAGTGTTAAGACATTGCTACGATGATAATTCTTTACAAAGCACTCATACTTAACTTGATATATTTACTGCATGACGTATTAAAAATAGGTCTTCCATTTTAATGTTCCTAGAACCAAGAAGTACCTAACCATTAGTATGTACATTTCACTGGGTTTTATCAGTTACAGCCACCACCACCCCTCCCTACCAAAAACCAATTGTTCCATGCACAGTGCATCCTGCGACTGGTGACATAGTAGACATATAGTAGGTAGGATCTGTGTCTCCGTGAATTTATTTTGAGTGTATACATAAATCCAGAGAAAGACAGAGGTCTAGAGCAGTGGTCGGCAAACTCATTAGTCAACAGAGCCAAATATCAACAGTGCTACGACTGAAATTTCTTTTTTTGAGAGCCGCATTTTTTAAACTTAAACTTCTTTAACGCCACTTCTTCAAAATAGACTCGCCCAGGCCAAAAACCAACTTCTGTGCAGGGGCCACGAAGTTTCAATCGCACTGTACGTGCACGCCTGCACATGGTATTTTGTGGAAGAGCCACACTCAAGAGGCCAAAGAGCCGCATGTGGCTTGTGAGCCGCAGTTTGCCGACCACTGGCCTAAAGAATACAAAATTTGGGACCACTTGTCTCCTAGGAGATATTACAGATTCTAATAAAGGGAGGTTGAAAAGCTGGTTAGCAATTTCAATAGCCTGGTAAGACTAGGAGGACAGAGATCTGAATTCAGGTTTTGTGCAGGTGGGGTCCTGGGGAGTCCTTTGCTTTGGGTTGGAACATGGCAAGGCTGTAAGAGTAAACTGCAAGCAGCACACGGGTCCTCAGAGGAGCTGCAGCACAGCTTTAACTCCTCATAACTTAACCCATGAATTGGGGTTAAGATGATACTGGAGTCCCAGTGCCCCAGGTAGCTAGCAGAACTGATTTTAAAAACCATTTCTAGAGGGAGAAAACGTTACCCTAGGCAGTTGATTTCCACAGATAATTTTAGTAAGCATAGGGTTTGTCACACAATATAAAATAACCAGTCTCATGAGAAGCTAAGCCAACAAGAACAAAAATAGCCAGTAGAAAAATCTAGGTATTAGCCATGGTAGATGCATTCTTCAAAATAACTCTTTAAAGTGTTCAGAGATACAGAGCCAAGAGGGGTAATTTTGGCAGAAGACTGAAAACTACAAAATAACCAAATGGAAACCCTAGAAATGAAAAATACAATCACAGAAATTAAGAATGTAATAGATGGTTCTAACAGCTGATTAAAAAGAGCCAAAGAAAAGATTATTGAACTGGAAGATATTTTAGAGGAAGATGTTCAGAATTAAAACAAACAAACAAACAAACAAAAAACCAGGAAAAAAAGGATGAAATTTTTAGGAGAAAGGGTAAAAGGCAAAGAAGATGTATGTGATTTGAATTCCAAAAGTAGAAGACAAGGAAAAGTAATATAAGACTTCCCCACATTTGAAGAAAAACATCCAGGCACAGATTCATAAAGCCCAAGTAGGACAAACAAAAAGAAATTCACAACCTGGCACATCTGATTAGAGTCAAATATGAAAAAAAATATTAAAACTAATAAGAAAAGATACTTGAAAGGAGCAACAATAAAAGCCCAAAGACAATTGAATGACACCTTCAAAGTGTTAAAAGAAAATTACTGCCAGCCTAGAATAATATGCCCACTAAGGCTATTTTCTAAGAACAAAGATATAAAGACATTTTCATATAAAAGGTGAGAAAATTCATCAAAACGAACTTACACTAAAAGAAACACTAAAGGCAGGAAGAAAATAATTGCAGGAGGGAGGCTGCAGATGCAAAAAAACAAATGGAAAGAGTAAATGGGAGGAGGAGGTTGTTAAACTGAGAGTCCATAATTCCATAAAGCAGTAATAATAATACTAAACACTAAAAAAAAATGGTATATCAGCCAGGAAGTATTTTAAATATTTAATACATAGTATTTTAAGCTGTGTCATTGAGGAAGAAAGTAAAAGTAATGTTAAATTTTAGTGAGCAGAGGAAACATGTTAAAACTTATGGGGTAGCTACTAAAAGAATAGTAAAAGGATATATAACTTCCAAACCAATACAGAGGAAAGAGAATGCCAAGAAAATAAAGCAATCAAAATGGAGAAAAGAGGGAGAGAGGAAGAAAGAATGGGAGTAACCAATAGAAAGATGGCGGATTTAAATTCAAAGAGATCTGTGATTAAGTTAAGTAGATGAGATATTCGGATTAGAAAACAAAGATTATAATTTGAATTAAAAAAAATTCTGTTTGCTGTTTATAAAAGATACAATATTCCTAAATAAACCATGGGACTAAAATAAATTATAATAGAAATTTGCATATAAGTAAAGGTGTATGATATTAAAAATATAACATACCCATGGGATGCTACAAAAGCTATACCTAGAGGGAATGCTCCTGTTAGAAGAGAAAAAAGGCTTAAGGTTCATGACTAATGATTCATCTAAAGAAATATGAACAACAAAACAAATCCCCTCAAAATGAGAAGAGCAGCCGAAACTGATTTGGCTCAGTGGACAGAGCGTCAGCCTGCAGACTGAAGGGTCCCAGGTTCGATTCCGGTCAAGGGCATGTACCTTGGTTGCGGGCACATCCCCAATAGAGGCTGTGCAGGAGGCAGCTGATCAATGTTTCTCTCTCATCAATGTTTCTAACTCTCTCTTCATCTCTGTAAAAAAAAAATCAATAAAATTTATTTTAAAAAGAGAGAGAGCATAATTGTATGAAATTAAAAAAACACCCACATACACTAGAAGAGATACACAATGTATTTATAGCCTCTGAAACCTGAATTATACATATGCCCTCAACTTAAGCATATATGTCTTCCTGACTCTAGACCTTGGTTTGGGGAGAATGTCTCTGAAGTTTTCAGCCAAAGCTCCTGAATCAGAAGTCAGTTCTCCTACCCTTTCTTCTAAAAGTTTCATCTCTTTTTTTTTTTTTTTTTTTGTCTTCTTTGTCTATTTCAGGACCACTGTGTGCAGCAAGGCGAGTGGTGAACAGCACACCATGAAAGCTGTGGATGTGAGAATTGAGGGCAGCCCGGCTCCCGGGGGCACATACAACGCCCTTTGTATTAAGGATGAAGGTCAGTGTCAGAGCCTTTGTCGAGGTTCCGTTGGGGGAAGGGGGGGGGGTTGTTGCCGGAGGGGTTTGCCACCTTAGGCTGTGCTCTCTAGAAACTGACCTTGAGTGAGGATTCACTCAACACAAGGTATCAGGGAGCCTTCCAAAGAGAAGTCAATAATACAGCGGAGAAGGGAACAGGAAAAGGAAGCAGACCACGCAATAGTGAAATATTAAGCAGAGTCCAGGTGGCGCTGAGGTGAGGGCTCATGGGAGGTGGCTCATGTGAGAGAGCAGGGGTATTTATAGCAATAAATACTGTCAGTCACTGGCTAAGGGCTGCTTCAGGGAGATGTGAATTCCTGGGCTCCTCTGTGGTTTTGTTGTTGTTTTGTTTGTTTTTTAAACATATTTTATTGATTTTTACAGAGAGGAAGGGAGAGAGATAGAGAATTAGAAACATCAGAGAGAGAAACATCGACCTGCCTCCTGCACACCCCCTACTGGTTATGTGCCCACAACTAAGGTACATGCCCTTGACCGGAATCGAACCTGGGACCTTTGAATCTGCAGGCCAACGCTTTATCCACTGAACCAAACCAGTTAGGACTCCTCTGGTTTTTGATGTGCACAGGCAGAGGGTTCCACACACCAGCCCCCTGTGCATGGGCAGGGTAAAGGTATCTAGGGAAAGTGGGCAATCCCTGAACGTGTCTGTTACAGTCACTGATACAGCCTACCCTTCTGTCTCTCTTCATGGTAGACAGCACACTGAAAAGGAAAAAAGCACTCCTTTCCCCCCAAATGGAATGTATAGGATTTAGGAGACTGATCGTAGGAAGAAAACTCTACTTCCTCCTGGGAAATGAGCTGAGTGATGGGGAGAAAAACCATAAAGGAGTCCGCAGGGCAGCGTTTCCGTGTGCCCTGAAATAAGTCCACGTTCATTACCAGAAACACAAGCTGTCTGGAGGGAATGCTCATGCCAATGGAGAGAAAGCCAGCTGCTTACCCCTCAGTCACAGACCTCAGCACAGGGACTGCTTCGCCGCACACTGGCCTCATCTGGGAAGTTTTCAGAAATACCGATGCCCGGATGTCAGCCCTCGATAATCTGATATAAATGTTCTGCATATTGGGTGTGTGGGTTTTTTTTAAGCTCCCTGGTGATTTTAACATGTAGAGCAGTTTGAGAGTTTACTTCTCTAATGCAGAGTTTCCCAAATCTCTCTGACGATGGGAATTACCAGGTGAACTTCTTAGAGATACAAACCCTCAGGCTGCACCCTGGAGGCACCAAATTCTAACCTCCTTCTTTATTTATTTATTTATTTGTTTGTTTATTTATTTATTTTAAATATATATTTTATTGTCTTTTTACAGAGAAGGGAGAGGGATAGAAAGTCAGAAACACCGATGAGAGAGGAACATCGATTAGCTGCCTCCTGCACACCCCCTACTGGGGATGTGCCCACAACCAAGGTACATGCCCTTGACCGTCTGGCCTGATCTGTGAGGAGGCTTCGGCTGGGCGGTGAAGGGGACCCAGGAATGCTGAGGTGGCATTAAGGTCGGAGGGCTGCTCTCTTGGGCACTCAGGGAGAGAGAGCTCCCGTTCCTCCGCCTTCCATCCTTTAGAATAGGGGTGTCGAACTCAATCAGAGAAGGGGCCAAAATCTAAAATCCAGCCTAAATCGCGGGCCGAATGGTTTACTGAACAGTCATAAACTGTCATTGTGATGGAAACGCAGCGGAGTGCAGTGATGACAGCGCGGTGCGGGCCACATTGCAAGGCCTGGCAGGACGGATTTGGCCCACGGGCCTTGTGTTTGACACATGTGCTTTAGGAAGAGCATGTAAGCTGCTCCCACATGGCCCTCCGCCCTGCTTCGTGGAGCCTTTGTTGAGAGCGCAGTCAGTGGGGAAATCTGTGCGGAAGGCAGGCGTGGTGCCGGAGCAGAAGCTGAGACAGGTGGTTCCATGTGGTCCCTCAGGAGCGAGTGTCCGTGAGGTCTGGTCCAGCATACCACCCGGCACAGTATCATCTCCAAAGGTTGCCTTTTGCCCGTTGCTGCTCCATGGGTCGGTGAGCTCCGTGCGTGCCAGCTCCAAGAACGGCAGGCGGCTTCCTTATAAAGAGCCCAGAAGGAAAACAGAGCCCTGGAACATTTAGACAGCTTCCCTCTCTGTTTCTTTTTTGAAATGAAGTTCTTCATGAATGTAGACTTTTCTCATTTTCCTTCCAGTACTTTGTCTCACCGAGAGTGAATTTCCAGTCCTGCGGTGATCTCACTTAAACTAATAAGTGGAGTTATTTTTAACCAACGGGATGTGGATGAAATAAGCTGCCTCCACTCGGGTTCTCTGGCTCTGCTTCTCTTGGCACTTTGTCTGGGGCCGACGTGTGGGGTCTGGAGTGCACCCACGGGGTTCCGCTCTGAGGGTGCTTCTGTCCACCTCCTCCCAAGCCAGGTTGGCTGGCTGCTCTTCCCTACCCCCCTTCCCCACCACACCCACCCCACCTTCTTAGCACCATGTTCTAACGCCCTTGTGTATTTACCTATTGCCTGTACTTCCCTTAAAAACAGAAGTGGAATCGTTCGCTTCTTTATGTCATCAAGAAGAGAACCGGATGCTCATCTTGAGAGAGATGGGGACATTTTGAGAGTAACCAATTCTCAGGTCTCCCTGGAGGAGGCCCCAGGCCTCAGGATTGGCTTTGGGAAAAATTATTTGGCTGCAATCAGGTGACGGAAATCAACCGTAGTGCTTTGAACACCTGATAGAATGTATTCAGTTCAGGGTCTCCCAAAGGAATGTGGAAGGTTCTGAGCTCATTACCATTGACTTGACCTTGGAAACTTATTTATCGAGGGTCAAGTCCAGTGCTCAGACTTGTGGGTTATTCTGTGGAAGGATAGATGGATGGATGGATGGATGGATGGATGGATGGATGGATGGATATATAGATAGATGATAGATAAGGTAGATAGACAGCTGGATATAGAGGTCTCATTCCCACCCTCAAGGAGTTGACAGGATAAGTAAGAGTTGAATATGTTTCCTGACACAAAGGAGGAGGGTAATTAGCAGATTTCCTGAGTCAATGGCATTTGAGGTGGAATTTGAAGATTTTGTTTCTGGAAATAATTATTAGGGAAGGGAGGAGAGGTCATGGCAGATAGGGAGAACAATGGTTTGGGGAGACTAGCTCTGGGACAGCCATAAGGACTCGTGTTTCAGGAGAATGACTCCGATTCAAATATCCCCAGTGGTTTGAGTAGCTGCTGGGCATGTCTGAGGTGGATTCAGAGAGAACCTAAGTCATCTCCATCTCAGTGAGCAGTAAAGCCCCCTCCTCCGCCACCTACACTTCAGACCAAACAGTACCAGGTCTTCCTTTACAGAAGCCTAGGCTGGATCCGTCCTGACACTCAAACAGTCAATACCCAGGAACACAGGGTGTCTGAGCAGCCAGAGAAATTGTGCCAACGGGTCCGTGTTCTGATGGATGTCACGAGCCATTTGATTTTGCCCTTCTTCCCTCAGTTCCTGTTCAGCCAACGTGTGCTTGGCTGCATGTGGTTTGAGGGAACTGGGCATTCAGTTGTCATCATTGCTTGGAGAATGACTCAAAAGACCAGAGTCTTCAGCTTACTTGGGAAATAGAACTCATATTTACGTAGGCCCCTGTTAAGTTCCAGGCATGTTACTGGGCACTGGGCAAGGCAAAAGCTCACTTAATTCTGCTCACAACCTAATGAGATGTGTTTCATTAGCTCCACTTTATATTTTATTTAAAATATATCTTATTGATTTTTTTACAGAGAGGAAGAGAAAGGGAGAGTCAGAAACATTGATAAGAGAGAAACATCGATCAGCTGCCTCTTGCACACCCCCTGCTGGGGATGTGCCTGCAACCAAGATACATGCCCCTCCAACTGGAATCGAACCCGGGACCCTTCAATCTGCAGGCCGACACTCAATCCACTAAGCAAACCAGTGACCAAGGCAAACCAGTCTTGGCAGCTCCACTTTATATTTTAATGTATTTCCCAATTATAAACAGGAGCATGCAGCCATTGTTAGAGGAAGTACAAAGGAAGTGGAAATCACTCGTAATCAGTAAAGATGTAGAACATTTCCTTCACCCCTGGTAGTTCCCGGGAGCCCTTTCCCTCAGGAGCTCTCCTCTCCCCGTGCCTGCAGAGCCAGAGGCAATTTCTGTTCTGCCTGCCGTCACCATAGAGTAGCGTCACCATATATTCACTTCGCCTGTTTCTTTGAGGGTGTGCTAGTTACCTAGAGCAGTAGTTCTCCAAGGGTAGTCCCTGGAACAATACTATCACCTGGGAACTCATTATAAATGCAAATTCTCAGGCCCTAACTTGACCTATTGACTCAAACTCAAAAACACAGCAGAGTGCCCAGCCCCGGGTGGCTCAGTGGTTGAGCATAGATGTATGAACCATGAGGTCCCAGTTCCAGTTCAATTCCCAGTCAGGGCACATGCCCCAGTTGTGGGCTCAATCACCAGTAGGGGGCGTGCAGGAGACAGCCCATCAATGACTCATCATTGATTTTTCTCTCTCCCTTTCCCTTCCTCTCTGAAATCAATAAAACATATATTTAAAAAATAAAAAACAACACACAGCACAATGCGTGTTACACGTCCTTCACGTTTGAGCAGCGATAGAGAGTTTGAGAACAAATAACATTGGGTGGAATGGGGAAGACAATGCCCGCGCATGCTGGGAGGAGGAGTAAGGTGGAGCTGGGCAGGTGGTCACAAAAGTCAGCTTCTTCAAATAGGCAGTGAAGGAGGAGCTTGGTGTTGGAATTTCTCCATTCTCGGTTTGTGGAATAATAATGGGGGTTATGGGCTCTTTTCGAGAACTTCAAAAATCATAGTGGAAGCGGCGTAAACGTTCTCAAAAATGAAAGCATCCACTTTTATATGCATTCTAAACTCTATGGGAACTGGCTTTCAGAAGATCTGAATGGCAAGCAAGTGTCCCCATT